AGCAGACGACTCCTGTACCATACCGACCAATGCTACTTGGCCTCGTTGAGCGATATCATAAGGTGTGGAAGGACATGGTGTCCTTGTACGTCCGAGAAAAGCAGGACGACTGGGATGAATGGATTCCGTGTGCGGCTTACGCTTATAACGGTGCACGACATGGAACTACAGGCTACTCTCCTAATGAGCTGATGATGGGTCGACAACTGAAAACGCCGAATGAGTTGTTAAGAGCTAGTGCGGTTGAGGAAATCGGCGACTGGACCGAATACCACCAACGATTGATCAATCAGATGGAGCGAGCAGCAGTCTTGGCGAAGATCGCGTTGCAGCAAGACCAGAGACGACGGGAGCACTACTATAATCGACAAGTACGCTGCAGGACCAACTTCAAAACGGGAGAGTTGGTATGGGTGTTGAAGCCACCCCGTGGAAAAGGGGTCACGAAGTTAGCTCACCAGTGGGTAGGACCGGCGAAGTTGGCGGAGAACGTCGGCTTCGACAACTGGTTGGTGGAGCGACAGGATCTTCAGGAGTCTCTGATAGTTCACACTAGCTTCTTGGTGTCGTATTACTATCCAAAAGACCGCTTGGGCACGTTAGCGGACCGTATACTTACTGAACTGGACGAAGATGACATCACACTCAGTTATGAGAGGAACGATACCGTAGAACTCAATACCACGACAGCCGACGATTGCATGAACGACGATGGAGACTTCCGGGCTCACAGTGACTCGCTAACTAGTGGAAAAGCAGACCGGGATGTTGATCAGGAGGTGCCGGTTGAAGCTAATGGGGAGTCGGCCCGTCACGCAGTACGGCGGCCGGGACCAGCGGTTGATGAGGGTGCCGGTGTGCGGCGAGCGTTGGGAGAGGCGTTGGAGACAGCCCGCCAGGCGCTGCTTGAAGGGACCCCTGCTTTAACGACAGGAAAGCGGACAGGAGCGCCAGAAATACCGTTACCAGTAGTACCGGCACCGCAACGGTCTTATGAGAAGCAGGTGGAGATCAGAATGAAAGCGCCACCAATTACACATAACCGAAAGAAGCCACAGTCGAGCAGTACACAGGCAACTGGCGAAGACGAAGCTCAACAGCGAAGGCGGCAGAAAGAAGCGGACGCACGGGCAGCGAGAGCAGCGCGACGGGGTACTCTACGTGACCAACAACCGCAAGAAGAAACCACGGAAGTGGATACAACTCCAGCTAACCGGGTTCCAGGCACTGCGACGGCCCACAACGATGAGAGAGACGCTGTCGGCGATGGAGGCGACGCTGTCAACGCTGCACCAGCACGAGGGACGGTCACGCTCACTGAAGGAACCGTCCCCATCGAGGTGGCAAACGAACGAACGGGAGAGCGCGACAACAGAGAACTGGAGCGAACAGGAGGTGACGGACGAGGGGATGCAATCAACGGGGGTGGACAAGCACAAACAGCTGCGACCCAGGCATTACGAGGCCGGCAACAAGCCCCGGGAACATCCCACGACCTACGAACCCCTTTTACACCAACCACCACGGCGGTGGTCATCTACGAGCGAGGACAGCGACGCATCAGGAATCGGGCAGGCAGGTACGAAACGCAACATCAAGTGGAGTACCGATATGGGCCAGGAAGACCAACACGACGAGAGTGGCTCACAGCGGAACAGTTCGACGTCCTGGTCGACGAAGGAAAGATCGAGGACGATCTTCTGGCAGGGGATGGCGTGTGGACAGGTGATACCGACGTCACCAAAAGAGCAGCCGACGGCGACGCAGGTCCGCGCCGCTGAGATCATTGATCTGACCGACGAGTGAAGAAAGTGAGGTTGAAGTGGATTATGGGCAGCCGGTGACTGAGAAGTACCGGTTGGTACCACGGCACTACGGGCACCGGACGAGAGAGCAGAGGACGTTGAAGTTAACGGATACCAGAGACGGTGGAAGATCGCGGGGAGGGACGACACGATAAGCGGAAAAGGGACCAGACTATATGAACCAGGAAGAAGACATCGACCAGCAACGGATGAACCCGAAAGGGACCAGCAAGGAGCCGTTTAGCATGAATATCGAAGGGAGCAGCGGACGCTATAGTTAAGATAGGATTAGCTACAGTGAGCAGTAGTTACGGGAGCGTTGGGGCCGCGGTCGCGACCCCACCGCTCAGTTACAATTCTGCACGCTCAGACAGAAGATAGCGGCTAAGAAACGTATTCCTGTGAGGTTCTGTGGCAATTCGGGCCAGCCTTACCCAACAGCAGCGGAGGTTT